GTGGTCGTTGATCCCCCGACCCGACCCGCCTTTTTTATTTTTATTTTAGGTTTCTTAGTGATTCTTTGTGCATTTCAAGTTCTGGGTGTGGCAGCTCGAAAATGCGTTAATGGTGTGTACTTGGGTGAAGTTTGGCAACAATGTAATGGGGGGAACGGGACTTAAAGGCAAACATTTGACTTTAAACGATTTGGTGAGAGTGGTTAAGTAAGAAAACCGATTGGAGAACGGATGTTGAGCTGCAGAACGGAAGTTACTTATTTTGTACCTTTAATAGCTTTTGAGTTCCGTTAGTTATTGATTAGTAAATCTATACTTTTAACTTTATTTAACAAGATATTTACGTGCATTAAGTACCACTTTGGGTTATTGGCTACATCCTTTTACGATTTTACCCCTACTTATTAAATCTACCTCAAAAGGTTTATCCAAGTACAGAATCTATATTTTATGCAAATTTAATTACAGTGCTGGTTGGCAACCCTAGCACTTGCTCCTTAAATATCTTGCACATGTTTTTACTGCATTTTCATGTCAAAAGCTCTGCATTCCCCTCTTCTCCACCATTTGCCATGTGGTTTTAAGGGACAGCTGTTTCTTTATAAAGTTAAAAAACCGCAGGACAAGAAATTTTATGTACGCAATGCGATTGATGACCTTCCAGTCGGATCTCAAAAGGGGAGCTCAAGAGAAAAAATACGAGGGGAATTCCCCCTGGCACGTACCACGATCCTTACGTTTTTTTCTTCTGCTCTTCCTGGCAGGTGTTTGACTTGCAAGTTGCAACCTGGTAGCAGGAAAAAATACTCCACTTCCTTCTTGAATGCGGTTAATGTCACATGGTTATGGTTAAAAGTTTTATTTATTTGCTTTTTGTTAATAAAAAGCATTCGTAAGTAGGTCAAATAATTTCGTATCTTATCAGTGCTTTGTGCTGTTTGTTTACGGTCATAGAACAAACATTTGATTCGATGGCCGCACATGCCAGCAGGTTGAGCTTTTCACATACACTAGAGTCCCCATTCTTATCAGTGGAAATATTAAAAATGAATCAAAGCTTGCATTCTTTGGAAGTATATAATTACATTCTATGTAATTCAATATGGTTACGTAATAAAGTGATAGTATGTGACCTCAATGTAGTTGAAAAACAAGAAGCAACACTTTGATCTTCGAAGTTACTTTACAATCGCTCTCAAACTCTGATGACTCGTTATGGTAACCAGGAAATAAAACCCCTAGATTAATGTTTATTAGTAAATATTAACAAATACCAACAGTCGACTATGAAAATCAACAAAAAGCGAAAAAAAAAACAAAAGTAAAAACTCATTTGGCATTTGGCATTTGCATTGCTACAACAATAATTAACGAGAAATCAAAGCGTAAACTAATTTGACCTTCGGGCAACAGCAACAACTACAACACGTGACTCTAAAGGCGGGAAAAACGCAAATAAAATAAATACTAAGACAAAAGAAAATTAAGAAGATGATAAATATATATAGAAATGTGTATATTGTTGCACCATGAAATAGGGAAAATAATTCTAAATATTATTTATAATCGGATAACAGACAGCGTTGGCCATGTAAGGTGCCGCTCTGTTTAACTAATTTTTTAATTGCCGCCACAATGGCTGACCTTGACACAGAATCGCCATGATAATAAGACTAGTTGCCACCCAAACGACTCCCCCTTTTGCTCGTTTGCAATATTCATTTGCAGAACCGTTGTACATAGCTCACATTTTATAGGCAATTTGTTTTTATTATTTTAGTTTGGGATATCACCAAGCACAGCAGAAAAGTGGGAGGGGACGGGTTGGGGGCACAGAAAACACGGCAGACAGCGTGGCAGGCAGAGTAATAAAATTAAAAAAAAAAGGAAAGGCGAACACAGAAAACAACACGCAAATAATATTGCAAAAAAAGAGGAGAAAAGAATAATAATAATAGCGGTTCGCGTGGGCGTTGTCTGCTATTACACTAAGAGAAAAACTTCACAAATCAGAGTTAAACATTTTAGAAAAAAAAACTCAATTTTCATATTATTTAATCACATTAAAGGTTTTCTTATTTAACATTTATTAAATTATTTTTTTGGTTTGAAAGAATAACTTTTTTGTAATGTAGATTATAAAGAGCAAAGAGGAAATGTTCTTTTTAAGTTGATTAAAATCGCGATGTGCCGATGGCTGTTTTTACCCCCCTTTATCTTTATTCTATGGGCCCCATAATTGTGTCAACTTATCTCAGTATATGTTTGTGTATACTAGAGCAGCGAAATGTGTGTCACGCCTCCATGGGAATGCAAAATAAAATTAAAAAAAAAATAAAAACAAATTTAAGATATAAGTAGCGCTGCGGTGTCTAATTAGCTGGGCAACTTTTGTTACTATAACGATAGAAATAATATAATATCAGTAAACAGATATGTATAAATTTGTATACCTTTCAAGTTTAAATATTTTTAACGTTTTATTATGCCAAATTTAATGTCTGAAGTAAATTTTAAACATACAATATTAGCCATGTGCTTGCCATTTTTTGGCAGTTACTTTCTACTCAAACTGTGTATTCCAATTTGACAAAAGTGCAGATGAAAAAAGGCTCTTCACTCACCCCTGAAAAATTTCTTTGTGGAATCCTCTTCTGATCTTTCCAATGGTTTTTCATTAGACATATGCGAATTCACGCACATGTATTGCGGCTAGACAGCTGCCAAAGGACTAAGGACCACAAAGGGATGTGCTATAGGCCATAGAATGGGATCTTTGGTTGTAGTCTGTCTGGGCTGTCCAAATGGAAATGACTTTGAATTTCTGATTTTCGGTTGCAAGCCGCAATTTACGGTTATAGCCAACAATCGACAACAAATGTTTTTGGCGGCAGACTGTAAGTTCAATGCCTGCTAAATGGGCTTGTTTTGTTTGGCCAAAGTCGAAGGGTCTAGACTTTATGACCAGCAGTGATGTTTGGACTTGCAAGTTCGAAAAGGGTACCTTAGCTATACTATTGGGATGAGCAAGGAAACTAATGTCTGTCTAGTTATTAATTTGAGAAGCTTGTAAGGGAAGATTTATAAAAACCAAACAAAGTGCGATAAGTATTTGATTCTTTTATAATACAATTGAATGCAACTTAGCAACTACCAGCCCTTAATATATTAATTTATTGGTCCTAATTTATCTTTATATCTTTACTATTGAATTTAATAGCTTCCTCGTTTATTATTTAAAGTTGTGATTTCTTCTTATCACTTTCTCTTCTCGCTCCCTGGCGACTAAATGCCAGACATTTTCCCATCAGCTTTCCATTGCCACACGCACATTCCTCTTAAACTGCAAATTCCCCATGGCGCTTAAATACTGGAAATAAAATTCATTGCCCGATATTGATTAACAATAAATTGCCAACGTCGTTGTCGCTATCGTTGTTATAGCTCATGTTGTTGTTGATGTTTGTCGGCTTGACCGGCGAAATGGGCGACCTGTGGGGCGATATGTAGGTATGTAGATATATATGCGGGTTTTTCGGAAAGGAGCAGTGACCAAAGGGGTGGAAAATCAGGGTGGAGACAGATGCCACATGGAGCTTTTGTCTGGCTGTCTGTTGGGGCTGTCATGGTTGCAGATATATACGGAATATATGTATATAGATATAGATACACACGCACACGGGATAAAGATACATATTTCGAAGCGGGGAGGTTGGTCGGATGCGCACACGTGCATGCATAAACAACAACCATGCGAGTTGCCACATAACGGCACTTGTTTATATAATGTACTGCAATTCTGTTTGCAGTTGCCAGACGAAGCTAGAAGATATATATATAGTACATATATAGCTATCATCCTAGCATGAGTGCAGGCCAAACGCCCATTCAATTTAATGTGACGCTTGTCTAGCCAAAAATGTTAACGCCAGACTGGATATCTCCCACTCTAAATGTGTCTATTGAAGCTTTAAGCTGAGACTAAGCCGCTTCAACGGTGATTTTCAATGCCCATGGCGCGAGTAAGCTTTAATTAGTAAATACCCGAATGACGGACATTTTCAGTCGTTCTTTAATTCTAACCACATGCCCCTTGCCTTGGGGTTGTTATCGATTTTCTTTTGGCTGGCTTTCCCAACCCCCTTAGAGGTAGCTAGCTGGGAAAGCTGTCGTCAGCACTGTTTATGCTAATGAAGTCACATTGTCGCTGGCCTGCTGCGTCTACGCCCACCAAAAATAGAAGTAGCAAAAAAAAAAATGAATGGCATCTCACATTAAATACAAAGTGAAAAAGTCTTTTAAAAAAGCCCTGAAACGTGCCTTGCATGACTAATTAGCATAATAAACAAACCTAACGAAAGCCACCCTGAAATAAAGCAAAACCCACGGCGAAAGAGGTGTTGCATATCAATGATGAAATGTCTTTGTGACAATCCGTTCAAACAATCAAACGCCGTGTGGGAAGACATAGGAGTTATAAAAAAGTTTAAATCCACGTAGTTGTTATGTAAAAATGTTTTTAAATACAATCAAAATATGAAGTATCCTTACGATATAGATATTAAATTTAAAGAAACTGTATTTAAAGAATTCGAATTTAAAGAATCTTAATTTTATCGTTGGGCTTAAAATTTTAAGTAATCTTTTTAATCTTTGCTGTTATATAATATTTAATAACCTTCAAGAAGAGAACCAGTGAACACACTTTTAATATATAATATTATCTATCCTTCAAATAGTTATAAAACATTCAAAAAGTATTTAAATATAGCTATATTTACAACGTGAATTAGTTTAAATATAGAATGTAAGTTTAGTTCCAGCACATTTTACTTAGCACTGATATTTATGAACCATCGAACTTTTAGCATTGATCTGCATTCTTCAACCCACAAAAATCATCGAAATCTAGACCTTGCATTTTTGTTTAAACAATTTGTTTTGATTATGTTGTTTATTTATGTTTTTACCATTCTCTTCTTTTCTCTCTCTTGTTACAGACTCAAACTAAAAAAAAACACACTTAAAACTGTACATAATCCCAATAAAAAGGCGTGTGTGTTGTAAAAGCATTAAAAAACAGCAAATTCCATTAAAACACTTGCCAAAAACCAAAAACAAAAAAGTGGGCCGAGGCGCGTGCAATATGCGCAACGGTATTCGGGAGCGAGCGCGTGCCAAGGAACGCACTGAATCGCATCGGAACGGTGGGAATCAATAATGCAACTGCAACAACAGCAACGGCGGCTGGAAGAATTCGAAAAGGAAACAGAAATTGTTGGGAGAAAGGAAAACATTTGGAAAATGTTGTTCCCGAAAACTGAAGAAAATGCATCGTTTTCTTAACATCCAGCAAAATAACAAACTACGCAACTATCATCAGTTACTTTTGTATTTTGTGGCTGCTGCTGGAGGAAGAGCGGAAGTGAGAGGCAGAAGGAGAGGAAACGGAACCGGCAAGAGTAGCGTTCGCAACGGAAGAACGCAGAAGAGGAAGCAGAGAAGCAGCAGCAGCAGAAGTTACTCTTACGTTAAAAACAAACGCAACGTAACGTAACGCAACGCAACGTTAAGAGAGACAGAAAGAGAGAGAGAGAGTAGTTGAAGCATAATATTATTCTATTAGCCCAATAAATTAACCCAACGCTGCCACTGTTCCTAAGACATCAATAACCAGAAGAAGAAGAAGAAGAAACAATTTAAGATAAACGTAGATCATAGACGTAACCGTAAACCGTAACGCAAACGCCTCTACACAAGATACACTACAAGAAACACAAATCCTATGCCAATTTTTGATCATCAAATCGTTTAGCACCTATCATAGACTCATCCCCATAAACGTCACATCAATAGTCAAAATCTCAAACGACACACAAGCAAAATATTAACTAAAGCAACGGAAATTAAACGTTGTTTTAAAGTCCAAAACCATAACTCTCCACAAATACAAAGAAAAGAAAGAAAAGGAACCACACCGATCTCGCCCCTTTGCCACGCACACCAAAAACAGCAATATTAACATCAATAGACAAAAATAAAAAAAAAAAGGAGGCTGGCTAAGGAAAGCGGACAAAAATATGGCCACACCCCAAGTCAAGGACTTGGTGTTGCGCTCGCCCGCTGGCTCCTCCGATGTCATATCCTTCGCCTGGCCCCTGCAGATCGGACACGGACAGGATAAGCACGACAATGGCATCGATATCATCGATACCATCAAGTTCGTCTGCGATGAGCTGCCATCGATGTCATCGGCCTTTGAGGAGACCAATCTCCACCAAATTGACACTGCCTGCTATAAGACTATGACCGGCCTGGTCGATCGCTTTAACAAGGCCGTCGACAGCATCGTTGCATTGGTAAGTGGTTTGTTTTTAGACGTAGTTATGACAGCAAAAGAAAAGTATCAGAAATGAAAAACAGAAAATTTATAATCTGTAATCTTTTCCAGAAACAGTGGTCAAAGCTGATAATAAAATCATTTAAAATTTTTCTTTCTTGATGGTTGTTTTGCCAACAATAATATAAACTAATATTTTCTAAGAACTATGCCTAACTTATTACTCTCTCCTCTCACAGGAAAAAGGAACTTCACTGCCCGCCGAGCGCCTGAACAAGTTCGCTCACCCTAGCCTTCTAAGACACATTTTGCAATTAGTTTACAATGCCGCCGTACTCGATCCGGATAAACTCAACCAGTACGAGCCCTTTTCGCCGGAGGTATACGGCGAGACGAGCTATGAGCTGGTACAGCAGATGCTTAAGCATGTCACCGTTAGCAAAGAGGACACATTCATCGATCTCGGCTCCGGAGTGGGCCAGGTTGTACTCCAGATGGCTGGATCCTTTCCCCTGAAAACCTGCATCGGCATCGAGAAGGCGGATACTCCGGCTCGTTATGCGGAACGCATGGATGTGTTCTTTCGCCAGTATATGGGATGGTTTGGCAAGCGGTTCTGCGAGTACAAGCTGATCAAAGGCGATTTCCTGGTCGATGAGCATCGCGAGAAGATTACCTCATCGACGCTGGTTTTTGTTAATAACTTTGCCTTTGGCCCGACAGTGGACCATCAGCTAAAAGAACGGTTTGCGGATCTTCGCGATGGAGCGAGGGTCGTGTCCTCCAAGTCGTTCTGTCCCCTGAACTTTCGGATAACGGACAGGTTGGTTGAAGTTTCTACCTAAATATGATCTTAAAGATTATGTTACAAATTTTCTAACTCTTATTATTTTTTTGCAGAAACCTCAGCGACATTGGAACCATTATGCACGTCAGTGAGATTCCGCCCCTGAAGGGCTCAGTTTCCTGGACCTGCAAGCCCGTTTCGTATTATCTGCATGTGATCGATCGCACCATATTGGAGCGATACTTTCAGCGCCTGAAAACGAAAGGCGGCAACGATCACGAGAGCGTGGGTAAGTTCCGAAGGACGAGGGGCCATGGAGATAAGGATAAGGATGCACTAATCGGAAATCAAGCCAAGACACAAAACACACAAAACAGTCATTTTCTCTTTGTCATCGTGAAATTTTCCAACCAATCAATCACAGTCAAAGTCAAGCAGTCTCTTTTCATCTCTTATGATTTTTACAATCAATCATTTTTGGAATGTTAGTTTCGTTTTTTGTGAAATCACAAAGCCTTATCACTTCAATCATGGTTATCAGTCATTGATGAATTGTTGTTAAAAGGTTTAATAGTCAGTTATAAGTACATTTTGTCTTCACCATTAAGAACTGATGTGAAAGTTAAGTTAGTTCTTCACTATATTTTCAAAGAAAAGTTAATTTTAGCGTTTAAGATGAAAGCTTTCTTTCCTGGGATCTTCGAATTTGGGTTAGATTAGTTTAGACAACGTAAATGATTATAAATAACAGAATTGATTGTTCGACTATATACTAATACCAGTAACCCACATCAAATTGATCTTAAGTGTAAGGGTTAGAAATGCTTATTAGTATGATTACTGCCAAGGTTTTATCTTTAGTATTGGACAAGTTGATGAAATAATCTACTGGTTTAGAATATTAACTCTTATTTCATAACAAATCGATGACTTTTTTAAATTGGCTTTTGTATTTTAAGATTGTTTTGCAGAATAATCCTTAAATTTAAAGAATATCTATATCAATTTGATACTAACTAACATCATATTCCCTTCTTCCAGGATCAGTTCGCACCACCCGTGATCGCGCCAAGCGAGAGGCGACCGTTGGCCAGCACCATCACAACAACCACCATAACAACAGCAACAATCACTCTAACAACAACAACAGCCATCAGCGTGAGCGGGAGCAGTCGAACGGATCTGCCGCTACTGCCGCCCACCAGCAGCGCCATCAATCCCAGTCGCCGGCCAATGTCAGCGGTGGGGGACTAGCAGCTGCCAGTGGGCAACAAGCTGCCTCGAAGACACGCCAGCAACAACACCAGCAGCATCAGCAGCAGCAGCGCAGCCTGGACATGGAAAGCAGCACGGAGAGCGATGGGGAGGCAACGAATGGGAATGGTGGCAACACCACCACGGCCACCAATACCACCTCCTCGAATGGACCGATGACCAGGAAGGTGTGGTCCGACTGGTGCAGTTCCAAGGGCAAAAGTTCTCAGTCTGATGACGAGGAAAACAATAACTCGAACAGCAATGGTGGCAGCAATGGAGGAGGAATGGGTGGAGGAGCTGTTGGCCGCCAGGCTCGAGCAACCACCCAGAAGAAGCGTAAGAAGTTGACTAGGAAAGCTGCGATAGCCAGCAAGTCTGCTGCAGCTGCACAAAGAGAAGCGGAGGCGGCAGCAGCGGCGGCGGCTGCGGTGGCAAGCAAGGACTCCAGCTCTAAGGAGGATCAACCAAGGGCAGCAAGCGCTGGTCCAGGTCGCAAAGGGCGCATGAAGAAGGGAGCACGGGGCCGAAAATCCCTGAAGATTGTTGGCCTGGAAGCACTGCACAAGCAAACGGTGCTAAGTACCTCCCTGGATACGATGGCCAAGAAGCTGCCAGCAGCTCCTGGAACTGTGGATCAACAGTTAACAGCTCTGCTGACGGAAAACATGGCGCATACGGAGTTGGATATTCCAGCGGCGCCACAGGATACGCCTTATGCCCTGCAAATCCTCCTGGATGTATTCCGTTCGCAGTACACGACGATGATTGAGCACATGAAGTCCAGTGCCTACGTTCCCCAGGTTCAGAAGCAGATTGCCCAAGAGCAGGAGCGGATGGCCAGGCTAAAGAACCGTGCCAGTCAGTTGGACAAGCAGATTAAAGTCCTGATCGACGATAGTGTTGCTCTGCTTAAAGTGCGAATGAACGAGCTGGGTATCCATGTGAATTCACCCAACGATTTGATCGCCCAGGCCAAGGAGATCGTGGGTAGGCATAAGGATCTGCAGCATACTGCCAGCAGGATGCGGAACGAAGTTACCTTCTACGAGGGTGAGCAGAAGCTGCTCCTTAACAAGCAGTTGAAGAACCTTTCCGAATATCAAAAACTTTGCGGAACGGTTAACGGAAAGGTGAAGTTGGAGGTGCCGCCGGAACTTTCGGAGACCACGGCCCAGGAACTGGTGTTAAAGGAGATTGCCAATACGCTGAGCCAACGCAAGAAACTTTACGCCCAGGTGTCCACCATCGAGCAGGAGACCACGGTGCTTCAGAAGACAGCGGAGGAACGAACAACCGCAGCGACGCTTTTGGCGCAAGGAACGAACATGATTGTCTCTACTGGATTATCATCTTCTGCATCCTCCTCCTCGTCTACCACCACCACAGTAACAACGAATTCGGTGCCCTTGCAAAACAATAAGTTGAACTCCGCAAAGAACTCTCGGCGCAGTCGGGAACACCGTGCTCGTTCGCAGGAGTGGCCAGAGGTTCCCGAGGTAGGCAAGATCCAGGAAAGCAATCCAGAAGTGCTGGCACAGAAAATCGTAGAGACCTGCCGCCAAATTGAAGCTGGCAAGTTCCAAGGAGCAGCTGCGCCTACTTACCAAGTGAATGGCAAGAATAAAGCCACTTTGGAGCCACCACCAGCGCCTCAGACAGTTGCTCCAGTCAACATAAAGTCCTCTCCTGGCCACCACTTCAAAGATAGCACGCTGATGCCAGCACCCAAACAACAACAGCAGCAACAAGTTACGCTTTCCCAGCTTCCCAAGTGCGAGTTACCCGGGCTATCGGCCAGTCGAAAGCAGGAATCCCCCAAGGTTGCCAACTTTGAGGATCGTTTGAAGAGCATCATCACCACGGCCTTGAACGAGGATCAGGAGCAGCGCAGTAAGGCAGTGGATCCGACGCCATCTCCCTCTCCTCTTCACAGTCCGGCGCCTAAGCGATCAAAGCAGCAACAGGCTGGAGCCATGAACCCCGCCCAATCGCTGCCCAATAATCTGCACAACATCATCACCGTGTCCACGCAGGGCTTGATGCATCTGAACGCCAATACGACTATATCTCCAATAACACCACCACTGCCGGGACCAGGAGCCGGGGCTACTGCTTCCACGGCGCCGCCCCCGCCAGCCAATCTTCCATATGGAGCCTACGGCGGATCAGTGGGCAAGGTCACGGGTTCGAACAAGTACCAAGCAGCTAAGGAACCGAAGTATTCGCCGGTCAGACAGGCACCACCACCACCGCCGCCTCCTCCCTCTCACATGGCTGCTTTGTATGCAGCTGGACAGCAGACAGCTCCGACGGATCTGGGTTACCAGAGGCGACGCAGCTCCGTTAGCGCAACTAGTTATGAACACTACATGGTGCAGCAGCAGCAGCAACTCCAGCAACAGCAGCTCATGCTGGCAGCAGCCGCTCATGCCGCACAGCGTCAGCAGATGCGAGTGGAGGAGCAACAACAACAGCATCATCACCAGCAGCAACACCATCAGCAACATCGTCTGCCGCAGCACGTTTCGCATCAACATCCGCTTCATCCCAATGAGTTCAAGGCCCCTCCGGCCGATAATCATCTCCAGCGTTCTGGTAGCCGAGAGCAATTAATAGTGGAGCCGCAGCAGCAGCCACTGGAGCTGTTGCCTCGAGCAAGTTCCGCCAACTCGGATTACGGTGGATATCGCATCCGTCCGCCTAGTAGGCCAAGCTCAAACTCCTCTCAGCCAGACTACACGCAGGTTTCACCGGCCAAGATGGCCCTGCGTCGTCATCTGTCGCAGGAGAAGCTCAGTCAGCATGTGACGCCGCAGGCCACGCCCCCGCTTCCAGGTCATGGAGGAGCTCCCACTTCGGGCAAGACCATTGGCGATTTGGTCAACGGGGAGATCGAGCGAACTCTGGAGATCTCGCATCAGAGCATCATCAATGCAGCAGTGAACATGAGCACCAGTGGCGCCAACTTCATGGAGCGGGCTTTCCTCAACGAGCGATCCAACGATCGTCTGCTGATCAACTTAAATGCCCAGCGACCAGAAAGAGTTCATGTGCGACCGTTGTCCGAGGAATCCCAGGAACCGCATCCCACAAGTTATGCTCAGGAGAGAGGACCTGGAGGAGTTCCAGGTGGAGCAGCAGCAGGAGGCAACAGCAATCTGGCCACTTTGGCCCATGTGGCGTACGTGCAGAAGGCACAGGGTAATGCTCGAGCCAACGCAGGAACAGCTCCGCCAACAACCCACTCAGCTGCTGCTCGCTCTGCGCGGGATTATCAGCCGGTGGCCTTGCCAAGAGCGGAACTGAAGGGCAGCATCGAAGCCTATTTCCACGAGGAGCAGCAGCAGAAACAGTCCAAGGGCGCAGGACCGGCAGGAGCAGCATCCCTGCGGGGACCGCGTCTCAATGGTGCCAATCCTCCACTTGAAGGTATCGACGACCTTTGTACTTTAGCATAAATATTTTATTACAAGATATTCTCTTGATCTCTAGGTCTAGCTGCCTCTCTGCAAGATCATGTGCGTGCCAGGAAGTATAAAGAAGAGACTGAGGAGCGTCAAAGACGCGCAGCAGCCGCCGCATCCTCCTCTTCAACGGGAGTGCCGCCTCCTAGCCTGGACATGGCAGCGCACTATGCTCACCAGGCGCCGCCAGCACACAGCTACCATCACCATGGTGCAAGCCTCAATGGGACACCGCACAAAGTCGAACGTAAGCTTTTAGAACATGTTAAAGATTGTGAATTGAATTTGTTTTTATAACAAAATTTCTAAATTTATGAATTTTTTTAGTGGGAATAAAACGCAGCTCCCCGCTGGCGCCACATCAACAGCCGCCGCGTCCCTCGAAACTGGCCCACTACGAGCCGCCACCGACGCAGCAGCAACAGCACCATGCCCACCTGTATGCCAACGGGCAAGTGCTGCCGCCACCTCCAGCTCACGACGCCACCACGCCCTCTCCAACGCCCTCGTCATCCTCATCGTCATGTGGTCGTCGCAGCAACAGTAACAATGGGAAATTGCTGGTGGATCCACCATTGCTTATGAGTCCCGAGATTAATTCCCTGTTGGGCGATGAGCGACCTTTGCAGCTGGCGCACCTTCCACAGCAGCAGCAGCAACTGCTGCACCACCATCAGGCGCAACAACAGCAACAGCAGCAGCAGCAACAACATCTGCAGCTGACCCAGCAGCAACTGAGAGTGCCGCACCTTGGACATGGCCTGGGCCACGGACATGGACACGGCCATAGTCACAGCACCACGCCCACTCTGGGCGGACAGCGCAATGCCAATGCAGCCGACGATGGTAAGCTATACGTAAACCAAGCTAAGAACTCGACCAAATATGCAACACAGCAACAAGCACCACCACCAGCACACGTAGCCTACCCGCTAGAACCACATAATCTTCACCAGCGCAAATACCAAACTCGACAAGCTGCCCAAACGGTGGCAGAAGATCTAACCATGAAGCGAGCAGAGCCGGAACCGGACTTGGAATCTGAGCCGGAAGAGGAGGAAGTTGCGACCGAAGATGGCGATTCCGATGGCGGAGCGTCATCGGCGACTTTCAGCTCGAACTCTGGCTCAGGATCCAATTTCAATTCAGACTCCTCATGATTTGCTTATTAAACACATCACACTCGCCGCACACACACACACACACATGCACACATCTGAAAAAAATTATACTTACATTTATACATATATTTTTGGACACATTTTATCTAATGTAAATACAACATGCAAAACAAATTATCTTAATTCATTTTCACTGTTGCGTGTTCATCGTAGTTTGGTTTTTGTAGTCTTGTCTGTCACTGTAATTGTTGCTTGTCTTTGTTTTAGTAGCTTTGATTATTTTATTTTATTTTAATTTTACTTTTTTTTATTTTTAACGCTTTTTGTAATCTTATTTCTGCCATCGACATTGAACTTTGTAAACATTTGAAGGGCATACTAACGGCGAACATCAACGAATTTAACCTAAACTAAAGAAGTATTATTAAAGTTTAACCGCAAGCGAATCTGAAAAACATTAGACAAATTTAGCAAAAGTTTATCGCGAGGGAAATGTATATCAGTTATTTATATTTCCCAGGACCTTGAGTGGGTTTGTTTTTCTCGAATATTTTCCAAGCCTAAGCAAACATTATTGTATTATATGAACAAAAATAGTAAAAGCCAAAACAACATCCAACATGCTGAAAGTAATCTAGCTCCTCTTTTATCCTAAGCGTCATGCCAAATCAATCATCTATATACCTATTACATATATACAATATGTTACCCAGAGCCACCCACCCGCCAACACAAAAACACACACACACACATAAAGCTAAGAAGCTCCTTTGTATAAACCATAAACATACACAAACACACACACCCATCCCCATAAGCAAACATTTATTTCAAAATTAACCAAAAAAAAAAAAAGCAACTTTCTGGAATGTTATAATTATAATGCATAATTAATTTTCAATTTTACTAAAATTCGAAACAAAAAATAAAACTGCAATTGCAAATTGGTAATGCTAAGAACCGAAACAAAAAAACCAAACCCAAAAACCAACAAATTATGCCCCATCTTATCCAGCCTTCTTTATGATCCCTTCTATTATGCTCTACTCCATACAGTTAACGATTTGGCAACGCAACGTACTATAACTAATTACGATCCCAGACGTCGCCTTCGCACGACTTTGTCTGGCCCAACGAAACTATCAGCTGCCCATAATAGTAATCAGACTCTGAACGGATATGTTCTGGCCGATAGTAGTAGTAGTTGCCCCACAGTACCCCAATAACCAATGATCGATTGCATTGAATTGACTTGCATTGAACTGAATTGAATTGAATTGATATTGAATTGAACTTGAATTGATATTGAATTGAATTGAACTTGAATTGATTGACTTGCATACCTCAAAATTCCTCAAACAAACCAAACGAAAAAAAGCAAAAACCGAAAACATGTTTGTTGTTGGGCGAAAGAAACAATCTTATAATAAACATAAATAATAATATAAGCAGAGTACAAAAAAAAAAAAAAAAAAACCTGATGAAAAACAAAGATTTCAAATCAGAAACCTACAAAAGACAACTTTTAATTTTTGCGTTTAATAATTTACCTACTAAAAGTACAGAATTTATATGCCAAAATTATAATTAAAAATCCCGAAACAAAATTTCTGAAATTTTAACGAGCATGAGGTAAGTTCTGTTGCGCCTAATTGGTTTCTTTCTTTAATTTATGATTTAGTTATGATTTATTTATTATTTTACTTTCATTACTTAACACCTTTGTTTTAACATTTACTACACTTACACATACATACATACACATTAAAAACACATAAAGGCCACCCATAAAAACAAAAGAACACAAAAACATATCCCTCTGCACGCCAAGAGAAACGCAACTGTACCAAGAAGATCAAGATTTTAATACGGAAAGAGCTTTTAGAACACACGTTATCGCCTGTGTTATCGTTATCGTTACGACACACCTCCTTTCCGACTGACTTACCCCCAAAAAAAGCCACTCAATACTCATCACCTCACCCAAAACCAAATCGAAAAATTCGCACTATAATCATAAGTTTTTATAACTAAAACTAACGAAACTTTTTGGTAATTATCCACAGATGATGTCATAGCCGCCGATGATGAAACTCACTGGCAGCATCGGGTCAGCTCTGGTTTCGACCGCCTGGTGGCCTTCGCCAGCACTGAACTGGACAAAACCAGACGAAGCATTGATGGCGACACGGTTCCGGCCTCAATCAGTTGCAACACATCGCCAGATTCGGGTATTACACACAGCAGCAGCAACTCAGATGCGGCGCGCACGTTCTTGTCAACTTCGTCTAGCTCCTCGCAACTGGAACTGCCCATTGGAAGCGGTGGAAGCAGCACCAACAGTCTGTATAACCATCATGCCCAGCATAATAACATCGGAGGCAGTGGAGTTGGCAGCAACCACCTTCAGCAGCAACAGCAACAGTTGCAGGCTCAGCACCAACAGCATCACATTTCAGATCACCTGAGTGATAGTAGCATCAAGTCCTCTGCCTCATCCTCACTGCATGCTGGTAGCTCCCTAAAAACTGTTTCGCCTGTGGATCCCAGTGCCATCGAGTCGCCACCGTTGTCCGATGTTGGATTGCCCAGAACTCCCAGTCCCAGTGCTGCCAGTGTAGCCACTCCACCTTTGGCCAGTGGACCACCTCTGGCCGGGGAATTGGGCGGAATACCGCTTAAGTATCAGCGCAAGTCGAAGAGCAGTTCGGAGAAGCATTACAAGAAGAAATTCTGCGAAAGGAACTGGGAGTACGACTGCGATGAGTTGCTGGCCTACTCCAACTCCAGTGCAGCACCCATGGCCGCTGATGCGGCGGGCAATGGACCTGCTACCTTGGATGCTGTTAATAATGTAGTTGCAGTGGTGGCACCACTCCTGGGAAAATCTGGAAAGTCACCGAAGGAGAAATCATCACCACACCACAGCGGCAACAACCATCAACAGCAGCAGCACCATCACAAATCGTCCAAATTCCGGCCAAAGGGCAAGGATTGGGACTGGTCGCTGGATAGTCGGAGCCAAACGGGCGATCTGATGCCCCCCAATAACAACATGAGCATTAACAACAACTCAACCACCACAACGAGTAATTAATTTAGTAAACTAATTTAGTTCAATTTGCTGAATGGAACGGAGAGATAACCAGAAAAGTATGCAATGCTTTGATGCTTTTTAGCCAGATTATTTGTAAAAGGATCGCGCAATGTGGATCGGATCCTGTGAATGAATTATAATATGTATTTAATGAGGATTTTTGTAATTTTAACTAAATGAATTGTATATGCTTAGATAACTTATTGTACAGCCCAGCTCTCCAATTGCCTTGTTTTACTTGATTATTGCTATCCAACTCTTTTTACACCAGTGTGTTTTTATTTCAATGATAATTCTAATTCTAATTAGATTAGGCATGTTTTTCGTATTTTTTTATAAGGTTGAACCCGGATACAAACACCCAACTGCTGATGAACAATGTTACTGACTTCTTTGTACCGATTACCAATTATTATGATTATTGTATTTAATTTGATTTATTGTTTAACTACGTTTCTCCATAAGTTGTGTGTTTTGTCTTTATTATTTTGAAATAAAATTGTAAACTAATTAAAACAGATTTTGTTTTCTTGCTTATTTCATTTTTTATTATTTATAAAACATGCTGTTTCGCCACGTTGAATTGGGACCAACCCTCGAATTCCAAAACCCGTTCCTGTTTTCAAGACGACAAAGAAAGTTGCTTCCAAGAATCGAATGTATATAGAATTTAATAAGCAAAGGTCAAATGTTGCAAAAGTTTTACTTTGCTTTAAGGGAATTTGCAACAGTTTATTCAATTTTTGAGCAGCACTTTAACGACATAGAAAATGTATCCATGCATGGCACAAGTTCATTTTTTAAAATTTATTTATAATTGTTTTTAATATTTCCGGTCGCGAATAGGAAGTACTAGCAAGCGGAGGATATACAAATACTTTAACAGATTAATCGCAAAACAATAAATCTAAACTGAAGTAGAGGAAATTAGATAACGTATACAAAATGCAACATGCATTCGCAACAGCAACAGCAGAAAAAAACAAGCAGAACAACAAGTAACCTTATAAATTAATGAATTTTCCACCTCAGCGAGATAAACAACAATTTTATAAATTATATTATATTATAGCAGGCATATACAAGATATATACATATATATATTATATACGAGCGAGCAGTTGGGAAGCTAAAAATATCAGGAAACCAATTAAATCGTAAACAAAGAAATAAATGATTTACAAGCATTTAATAAACCAGCATAAACCAAAAAATATTTAGCAAAACGTAAAGAACTATATAAAAAAACATATATGAATAACAGTACTTATAGCGAATAAAGGGAATTTCAAATGTGCTATTAGCGTAGTGTAATATACGATTACCAGAAGAGTAAAATAATAATAATAATAATAATATAAACCAGTCAAGTATAGTATGTACGTCATGAGGCGCAAAATGATTTTTATACGTAAAATATTATATACTGATCCCGAGCTAAGTCGGTAACGAATTTGGCCATAATGAACAAGAGTTGTAGCAAATGGAATATTATTTTGGCGCTATTAAAACAAATGACATGTAAAATGCATATAAAATAATATATATTATTAAATAGTTAAATTTACATGTAAAATTCATAAAACAATAAACGATGAATGTAAAAGTCAAATTTTCGGGGAGGAAAACATTAAATGAGCACACACGCATATTAAAATTAAAGGTATTATTATGTATATTTAACAAATATTAATTGCATATTATTATTTTAAACTTAAACGTTTAATAAAAAATATTAAAATATAATTAAAACGAAAGTTGGTTTTAGTTAGTATGGGATGGAAAATTGCAGTTATTCCCGCAAAACAAAACCAAAGTAGCGGGCAACTTCATAAAACATATTAAACAAAAATGTAACCAACTAATAAAACTTTAAGCCAGTCCAAACTCTAAATTAACTAAAAAATAACCAAAACGTGGGAAGACGAATCGCAAAAACTGAGTTTAAATGGTAAGTTAAATTGACAATCTTAATCTAATCAAAAAATAAATAATAGATCTAATTAGTGTTAAGAAGTGGACAAGCTTTAACATCTGATAACTGGTAAAATCTTTCATCCTCTGTTTAGTCCTCGTAAATCCCAACCAAAATCAGATATCGAAACTCAAAAAAGTTTGGATGATTATAATACCAAACCTTATCGAAATATTGATTCACCAAAATTTCCATAGTTATTTGATAAGCCCAATGAGAATCCAAATTTCCTGTCGCCGAAGAAGGAAATGATAAGAAATAAAAAATCTCTCCAAGCCAAAAATACATTTGCGAATTTTTCGTTTCTGTTATCTGTATTTTATGTCATTCAAATATCTTATAAAAAGTACAGTTTTGGTTCGTTTAACTTTAATGCATTCTTTCTGTATAATTGCATATATCTCATCTAAGTGTTCCCGGTGACAATGTGTTTAATCTATTTACCATACTTAGGGCTATTGTTATTTTACTCGTATATTGTTGTTGGTTGGTATTGTTCAAAGCGGACTGCGGGGTAAGTGACATTGCTTAAAAATAATCTTTAAAACTTTAGCTTTTTCTGTATTTTAGAATTTAGCTGACAATGTTCATCGTAGGCTATGGGTGCTGTTCTGGTTATTGTTATTTATGTTCTTGTTGACTTACTGGTTGAATCTGAGGCTCTAACAAATTCATTTGATTCCCTACCTTGCTTCTTGTAAATGAGTGTATATTTAATTAGACTCGTATAACGTTCTATTAATCTATTTATGTGTGTATACGTAGCTAACATTTTCTTTGTTTTTTTTTTTTTTTATTTTTTAATGCATTTTGTATGTTTGTATGAATATTTTGTTGTTGTTGCGGTATTTAATTGTTTTACAATAAAGCCTGAGGCACATTTATGATTTATTTTCAATGCATTTTTAAGAAAATCATTTGTTTTGAAAGGAAAAGAGGTTTGTGTTTTACTTTGTTTTACAAACAAACTAACATTCATTTGCAATGCGAATTAAAAATAAGAAGTAAGGCTAAACTTGTTCAAAACGCTAAACCGAAACTAAAGACTGTTAGACTGGGTATAAGAAACGACATTACAACTAGAAATTCAGGCATCAGAAAACTTGAATTACAGACATCGTACAAAATCCATTAATAGCACAGCTAAAGTACTACACGTGAATTAAACAAAAATAATAAACAGGTATAACAAACAAACACTTATAACTAATTGAAGAATCGAAAGCTTTTAATGTTAAGCTTAAGATAAATATAAAGATAGAGTTTAACAAATAGAATATGTAGTTCGGGGCTGGTTTAGTAATAGAATTGAACGACTGACTGGATGAACAATTGACGAAGCTCGTTACTCACGATACCTTACAACACCATACAAACACACAATTAAATTTGACAATTTTGAACTGAGACTTGAGGTTTCCTGCGACCCCCTTTAAAATCCGTTTGGAAATCCCTCTAGAAATATATATACTTTATATACTTATATATGTACAGTCGAGGGTCGCAGGAAGACAAACTCGTCGAGCGCCGAGATTTAGTTCTAAAGTTCTAGATGTACATTCGTTTACGTTACATTTTGTAAATTTGTTTTCGTTTTTAAAACCGCTGCACACGTTTCCTTCATTCAGACTTTAAGTTCGTTTCATTTGTAATGTTGTTCAACAATAAAACTATGCAACTACATACAGCTACATACCATCGTCATCAGTGTATTAATGTTAATGTTAATTTTTAGTAATTATAACAATATGCCAATGGCATACATACATACATACAACGAGGGCCTGAGGGTAGTGTTAGATTATAGAAGTCGGCTTAAGCACAGACCTCTAATGCTGTTGGACACTTTTTGAAACCAATTAGAGGCACAGTTAAGCTGTTGATTAGTTTAGAAGAGGGAAGATAGGATTTTGTTGGATATTTCTTAGCTTGCGAGAGTCACGAAGAGAAAGCTCATGTGTGGAGGATTTTCACAGGTTCATGTTCCAGTTTCTTAACTATATTGAATCTCAGTTTTGTATCAACTGGAAGTATTTAGTTTTTATAAATTTAAAGTTTGTAACCGTGGGAAATTGAATTTTGTATGTCATTAGAAAGGACATAGCACGTTAGACGTTAGGCAAAACAAAAATCCTATATACTCAAAACAGGAACATTGATAGAGGACTTAATAGATAGACACAAAAACGAATTAACGAGACGTCAATGCGGCAGGAGACGGATAATAGGAGGCTCTATAATTGATCAACATGCTGCAACAGACAGGCCACCACATTGGCGCCCTCCTTTGCAGATGATGGGACTTCATTATTCTCCACTTCGTCGGTCTCCTGTCGCTCTTGTATTTCGATCTCCTCCTGAGCTTTCTCTTCATGCAAATTCTAAAAATCGTCGAGTATCCCCGGAACACCGATCATCGCCTCAACCACATCGGCGCTGCTGGGGGCACTGTCATCGATCAGAGTGTCCGTGCTCAGAGCTAACGTAGGATCTGTGGTAACTCCAACCGCAGCAAAGGCGGATGAAGGTAAGCTGTCGATGGTATTGCCATTTATCAGGAAGTCACGGTGCACCTCGGCAGGACTGTAGCGGAAACGTTGTGTTGCAATTGGCGTCGTTGGCATGGACTTGGATATGTCTAGTGGATTGCGGGCACTGTAAGAATGTGTGCTATAGCCCAACTGACTACCATTGCCAGCAGATCCCTCCCAGTTAAAAGAGTCCGAAATGGTAAAGAAGCCGTTTCCAGTTCCGCAGCTGCCTCCATTTCCGATTCCCATAAGAGCTCCTCCGCTGGCTGCTGGTCCTGCTCCTCCATTTAAAGATGTAAGGCTGTTTTGCTGCTGGTGTGGCAGCGGAGTTGAAGGCACCGATCGCGACACTATTCCCGCAGAGCCACCACTGCTGTAGCCGGACGAGGACCCCGCTGAGGAGCTGCACGTAGTGGCCGTCTGCTGCGTCATGCTATTGAACTTTCTGTTAAAATTGGGTGACAGTAGAGATCCCACCTCCACCTCCTCGTATAGCAATCCTGTATCTTTTAGAGGAGCAGACTGCTGACTGTTACTGTTCTCCGAGTAGAAATTCAAGTTAGGTGACTGTTGACTGCTCCTTCTCTGCAATTGTGACAGCGGCACCGATTGTGAGCGCTGCATCTCTGACGTATCTAGTTCGTTCCCACCCGTAAGTGCCAGACTTGTTTCCAAATCCATTGAATTTTGGTTAACCAGCGGATCGGCACTGTGGCTGCAGTCCGCAAAGCTGGAGGTATTTCCGGCTCCAAACGACCAGTTGCCACCCATCCATTGCTGCAGAATGGAGGGACTCGGTGGAGCTGAGGCAGACGTGCTCGTTGGATAGCTGTACACATAGCCTCGGCCCTTGCGATGAGCTCCGATCATGGGATCTCGGTTGTCGCAGTCCAGCGATTGCTGCTTGCTCAACAAATTGGGTCTTTGCCGCATTCTGGTCAGTCCCGGACTAGCAAAGCAATTTTGACTTGAATTTGCCGTTGCTCCAGTGGCTGCTGGTGTCGCCACTGATCCGTTGGTGTTTGGTGAGATGGGCAGAAAAATACAATTCTTGTTGCTGCCATTGCTGGAGGCGTTGCTCAGGCTGATTTTTCGCTTGTTGTTGCTGATTATCGGCAGCTGCTTGGAACGCTGCAATTGCTGCTGCAGGTTCGGGTGCTGGTGCTGCTGTTGATGCTTTTTTGACATAAGGGCCAGAGACGCTGAGGCAGAACCCACGCCGGCCTGTCCGGGCAGCATTGAAGGTGCTGGCACCGGCGCCAGCATCGCTGCTGCAGCGGCGACGACAGCTGCTCCGCGTCCGGGAGCGGGCATCGCCTCCGGCGCAGAGCCCATCGTCGTTGGCTCTTGTGGATTCCTGTTCTGTTCGGCAGCATCCAAGGAATTCAGTTGTTTTTCCTCAGCGTCTCCCATCTGAAAATATTGGAGCAGCTCGTTGTCGGGCTCCTCAGAATTCTCTTCATCTTCGCCAGGCAGAAAGTAGTCATCCAGCTCGTGCTTGTCCATGTTGCAGATGCTGATCACTCGCTCTCTAGGCAATCCAAGATTTTCGGGCAGTCCAGAGTCATCGGTGGAGGCACTTTCCGCTGCCATTAAACGCTTGGCCCTTAGGATCATCATTTGATTTCTAGAGGCAACCTTCGGCGTCGTGTCGATGCTACTTGAAGGGCTTACAGAACTGGCGTTCATCATTTGCGATGGTGGGCCCATGGAAAGTCCGGGTCCTGGAACTGGGGAAATGCCCGAGTTTGGCGGAGGGGGTGTGGCCGAGGTTGTAGTTATCGTTGGTGGAACAAGAAGACCACTACCGCCCGTTGTTCCACTACTTGGGGAATTAACCCAAAACCCTTTAGTCTGCTGCGCCTTCAATACTTTCTTGCAGAAAATGTTGGTTGTGTAGTCTTCCACCTCGTCCTTGATCACTATACCCGTGGGCGATGGCTCCTGCTGGGTCAGTACTACGGCCGGCGATCCCATTTCCAATATTTTCGGTGTAAGGTTGCGCACAGCGCTGCTGCTTCGCTGATCTGTGGCCAAATTCATGGGCGTAATCTGCTGAAGGTATCCTATAGGTGGCTGTTGGTGCTGTATAGGTGAGTCTATAATCTCCTGCTTGATCTTCAAAAGCTGTTCGTCGCTAGCCTCCTGGCTGCTACCCGCGTCCTGACTGGCAACTAATTGATTGCAGCTGGATTCCGAGGATGTGGAGCCCTTGCGTTTCTTTTTGCGACGCTTCTTGAGTGGTCCAATGTCCTAATCACAAATAGAAAATTAGAAATTCCCTGATCGTGAGTTTTCTAAAAACTTACTGCTAAAACTCTCTTCTCTTTGGGTTCCCGAGGTGTGTATTTCTTAGTTGGAACTATTGCATTGTTGCTCCTGATACGGGAACTTAGATCCGCCACGCTTTCTAGCTTAGTGTTTAGCAACTTCTCTGCCCAGCTCCGCACCACTTCCCAGCACTCCGACTCGCCTGCTGTTGACGACTGTCCACCCAAACTTGAAGAGCTAGTTAGCTGACTGGAGTCGACAATGGTGTCGCCTTCCGAGATTTGCTCAGTCTTGCACAGCTGGGGGAGTTGTGGCGGCGTCAGTTTGGTGGTTTTCCGCATGGCGGCATAGCAGTAGCGGGAATTTCCACGCGTTCCCAATCTCCGAGGTCGAACGCCTGGAAAGACCTGCTTCATCACTTTTCCGAAATCGGCCGTGGAAAGCGGTTTGATGCTGAGCCGTTCGCAATAAGCTCTATATGGAAGAACAATTAATATTATTCATAATTATCGAGTTATTTATAAATAAAGATTAATATGACTATTAGTAATACCATTTTATGTAGTTCATTGATAAACTATCTTGTTATGAATAATTTAGAAAAATGTTTATTAAGCCAAAGTTAAAGCATCAATTAGATTGCCACATTTGGTTTGATTTAAGATCTTGTATTTACATTGTACATAACAGAGTCTAAATATAAATGGATTTTTTTGTTTTTATAAAGACAACCCGTCTAAAGTATAGGTTATACCAAGGAATCACTCACATGTAATCGTTGTACACGTCCTGCTTAGGTATAGACACCTGTGGATCGTTTTCCAGGTGAGAACGCACCCAATTGATGGTATGGTTAATCTCGGAGCGCGTTCCTAGTGGGTTCTGTGGTTGCCTCAACGGATCTGTGTCCGCGCACTCACCAGGCAATCGTAGGTAAAGGAATAGCTTCTCAATGGGCTTTAATCCCGAAACGCGTTCCAGGATCTGTGAGATCTGCAGCTTGGCATTGTCACTAAAAATAAAAATCATACCAATAAGAAGGGAATATCACAGATTGCTAAATACTCACTCCAAGCTGCCCTCAATCACTTGCTGCACCCTTCGCATCTTCTCCTCACTGGGCACTACTGATCCGGCTGAGTTCGAGTTGCTTAAAGCATTCATCACATTTTCAGCAATTGTGGAATTTATCACTCCACTAGCCGCCGGCGCTGCTTCATTAGGATGCCGCTGACCAACTATTGTGGGAGCCGAAGGAGCAGCAGTTGTTGGAGTTCCAGTGACTGGTACTGTTACTGCTGGCACACCTCCTGGGGATCCGCCCATGGCGTGCATGATCTTGCCCAGACCTAGTTGCTGGGCCGTATTAAAGCTGAAGGCATTGGCGAAGGCCAGTCCGGCAGCAGTATTTCCAGTTGTGGTGGCAAAGGGGTTCGGTGTGAGCACCGAAGTGGAGACACCACCATTGCCGCCGGCGGTATTGGGAAACGGAGGCGGCACAAAGCCGCTGGGCGTGGCTACAGGTACAGGTACATGGGTGAGGCTCGTGGGCGAGATCTGGGCGGCTGCCGCAGCTCCACCACCAGGGCCAACGGGCGTAATGGTTAAAGGTGAGGCCTTGGCATGGATAGCAGGTCCTTGAAATCGGGTGGCATTGTAAACTATATCAGCTGGCTGCAGGCTGCAATTGCCGTAGAGATGGGCATTGGGTTTCTGGATGGGAAGGGCCACAGGAATAGGTAGAGGTATTGGGATGGAATTGGAGGCTTGTGCTGATGATGCTGGCGCCGCTGATTTCGTCCACTGCACACCCAGCTGGCCGTGCTTCTCGGACATGTTAGGTGCTAGTGATAGCGGCGCCTCCGTTTCCCTCCGCCTTCTGCTGTTGTTTCTACTACTCCTCCTGCTTTACTGATTTTGTTGTTGTTATGGTTTCTGGTCAAGATTAAGGGCGCTTTCGCTAGCAGGTTACGTGGGTCTATGCCTGTGTGTGTGTGCTGGGCTGCGTGCGATTGAGTATGTGTGCTTTAGGAGATGGAGATTGCCGAGTCGATAACTGGCGCGACGAACATTTCGACGGCTGCGACGGACGAAGATACGGATGCCAGATAATGTTGCTTTCCCATTTTCCCCTTTGGCGGGGGGCGTTGGGCGTAGGACGTAGAAAGTGTGTGGCGATCTTTAATACCAAAAAGCATGCGATTTTCTCGAACACGCACCGATCAAAGCGAAATAATCCATTTTTTTTACAAGAGATAAGAAATATCTTGCGTTCTGCGTCTCGAAAAATATGCGGCGTTGCCAGATCGTCGCGCTGAGAAATAGTCTTTTTTTGCCAGAGCTTGCGGATGTAAACACGGAGTTGCATTTGTTAATTTGCATAATTAATTAGTCCATTTGTAATTCATTTTTATATAACTATAAAAATATATGCGAAAAGCTTTAAATAATTTATGATAAACGGTAATAATGATTATTTTGGTGATCTCGATATATCGGTATTGCTAGTGCTCTAGAGCAGCCAAACTGAGGGAATTTAATACTTTTAGTTTTTAATGTTACTGAAATATTTACAGACTATGTAAAATTTGTCGCACATAAACATCACAAAGTTAGTCATAAAAATCAAAAATTACTAATTTTTTTTTAATATATTAATATTGTTAAAGCATGATTTAATCTAAATTGAATTATCAAATTTTTATTTTAATAGTATAGCTAAGTCATTATATAATTGTAAATACATGTATATTATTATAATTTAAACAATTAACTAAATAATATGAAATTTTTGTTTAGTGACAAATTCATTTAGCTGACTGCTCGGAACCAGTGAAATGAACCACGGTGCTTGTGCCTTGTTGTTGTGCAACCCTGGTAAAGAAAATGGCGATGCCTTTGCGTATCTATTTTTCAGTCGCTTTACACAACACTTTAGCAACACAAATTTTAACACTAAAATACTGTACGAGCGGTTCTTTTAATTAAATTGTGAGTAGGAACTAAGAATGCGCGGCGAACTAACCCCGGAGACGTGCCGGGTCTGCCTGGAGCCCAGTGCGCGTCTGCAGCGCCTGGACGAATCCCGTGAAGAGGGCGAGGAGACACCAAACGAGATGTTAATTCAACTTTTGGGTGTCTCTTACAGCAAGGTAACTGTATTCACTTTCATATCGAAAACAAACTTATTAGTTCGATTATCCCGCAGTTAAATGATAAGGAACAGATCCCTGATGGCATCTGTAAGTCGTGCAAAGTGGAACTCAACATGGCCTATCAATTCCGTGAGAAGGCGCTTCGCAAGCAGGGCGAGATCGAGGAATACCTTAGGGAACTGGGCTTGCTTGATGATGCCGATGAGTTGCTAATCAAGGAGGAGGACGGCTCGCAGACAATTTGCGATGAAGAAATGTATATTCTGGAGGAGACAACTACGGGGGAAGAGGAACACCATGACGGCAAGGAGCAAGATGAATTTGTAGAGTTGGACGCCAGCGAGAATCCGGAGTGCATTAGCGACACCATTGAGTACCTAGAGGACAACTACACTATCGACATGACTCCCGAGCAGTCCGAGGTCGTCCTAGAGACTGAGACGCAATTTGACGATACGCCCACGCAGCAATTGGCGCTCCAGGAAGCTGCAAAGGCCAGCCTAAAGGCGCGGCGCGGTCGTCTTCGTCGCGGACTCAACTCTTTGACCACATCTGACGGCACCGAAAAAGGCGGCTACATCTGCGACGTCTGCGGCAACTTCTACGAGAAGCGCGGTCGGATGATGGAGCACCGAAGGCGCCACGACGCCATCTGTCAGTATGCATGCGAGTAAGTCTAGATGCTAAAATACTTAATAATATTCTATATATAACACTCTAATAGGTGTTTTTTTAAGTTAATTAGAGATTTCGACCATCTGTTCTAGGACTGTTCTATTTTTAAAATTACTTAAGTAAATGTAAGAAATTTATATTTCATTCATATTTTATTTACCCTTATAGACTCTGCGATGCTAAGTTCCAGGTGCGCGAACAGCTGAGGAAACATATGTACTCCCACACTGGCAGCAAACCCTATAAATGCAGCTTCTGCAGTCGACAGTTCTTCTACGAGAGTGTCCTTAAGTCCCATGAAAAGTAAGGGGAAAATCAAATTAAATTATGTTCTGCAGCTCTAAAACATTAATTTTATCTTGTTCAGTGTTCACCGTGGCATTAAGCCCTACGTGTGCAAGGTGTGCGACAAAGCCTTCGCTTATGCTCATTCGCTGACCAAGCACGAGCTCATCCACACCGACATCAAGCTGTACCGCTGCGAATATTGCCATAAAGACTTCCGACTGCTGCATCACATGCGCCAGCACGAGGAGACCAAGCTGCACCAGAACGCCGTAATGTTGGCCGAGAGTATGAAGGTGGAGATGGTGGGCGAGGAGGAAGACGGGCACGAGGTCAGGATTGAAGCCCACTGATGTATTAAATTCCATCAGATCCTGCTTTACCTATTTTTTGGGTTCTAATTTACAAATATACTTAATCCCTTGTGTAGTAATGTTAGCTTATATTGAATGCACATATATATATATATATATAAGAACTTTTTAGGAACTCGTTTCGATAAATAAAGGTTATTTTTGTTAAAAAGATACGTACGATATCCCTGATTATTTTGTAAAATAATTACTGTAATGTGGTAAGGATATAAACTAATCCAAAAAGGTTAGTATAGTCTTGGCAATTTTCGATCTTTTTCCCGATTCTTATTTCAGTTAATCTACGAAGTTTTTTTTCGTTTCAATTCCCACATCTTCACTAAACGTTTAATACGAAAACAAGAGGAAACGCTATAGTCGAGTGACTAAAAGATATCAGTTACTGTTTTATACAATTTTAAAATATTAATTTTGCTAGTGGAAATTCACAACGCGCCACCTTTTGTCATAAAAAACATGTTGACTAAGTGATGGTGACGTCACTGTCTATGTGAGGCCTTATAACATACATTTCTTCATAAATAATATTCCGATTTAAAAAATCTTTGGTGAATAGATTGATATTGACAAAAATATGTTATATAAGGTTAAACGAGGACATACAGTATAATGTTATGGGCTCCACCGTTATCCGCGGCTTGTGGGAGATATAGTGGGCGTGGCAGGATGCTGAAATAAACTTGCTGCATATGGGCCTCAAGAATCTGCCTGTTTAATCTCAACTCTGTATCTCTTATAGTTCCTGAGTTCTCTGCGTTCATACGGACAGACGGACGGATGGACGGACAGACGGACATGGACGCTATTGATGCTGATCGAAAATATATATACTTTATAGGGTTGGAAACGCTTTCTTCTACCTGTTACACACTTTTAAACGAATTTAGTAAACCCTTTTACTCTACGAGTAACGGGTTTAATTACTTACAAATTATTGAAGACCAAAATTCATATCACCAGCGTTTAATGTTTAAAAAGTATAGAAGTTCTCAAATAATTATTGTTGTAAAGCTGTAAATTACATTCTATGAAATGCGAAGACATTTTAAATAAAAAAAAGGAAATTTCCATATATATCAGCTTTAATTGCTAATATCATTAAATAATTAAAATAAATTTCAGAGAAATCATTGAGAAGAAAATGCTTTACCTTGACAATTTGTTTTTTTTTTTTTAACTAAAACAAAACTAAGAATATTTCAGCTTTCCTTCCTTTCCACTACTTAATTTAACCACAAGTTCTTAAATACGCTTTTATTTTATTAATGAATTGAGAGAGGACAAAAGTAAACTGCCAACTGACTGCCTAGGGAGCAGAAATCACAACGTTATTGAATTCCCGGGCAGTATTTGAGTTTTTTATTTGAGTTCTTTCTTTGCACAATCAATGTGCGTGTGTGTGTGTGCATTGCGGAGTTATGCTGAAAATTATGTAATAAATATGGGTGGCTACATGTCGCCGCGAGTAAATAAAATGAAATTGGAAAAAAACCCAATTTGCACCGAACGCATACAAAACACGAACGAATTGTACGATATCAAAGGAAGTTCCCAAATTACATGACTTGAATAAGTTTTTTTTTCATTGGCCGCTGTCTCCTCATCTTTTATTTTTTGGCTCCCCGTGAATTTTACCACTTTAGTGCAAACAACAAAAAAGTTCTTATGGACACGGTGAAGCCTTTCGGCTCCCTAGGGTTTACGTATTTGATTACATGGGGCTTACACTAAAATTAATACTGGGAGATTTAAGCATAACTTATATTGAAATGGGAACGAAATATATATTTATGTTTAGGCATTTTGTTAAATTAGAGTAAGAGATCTCAGAACCTCAGCAACTACAAATTGTTAGATTATTTGGCATTGAATTAATAATATAAAATGGGAGATACCCAAGGGCTAAAATAGTTTTATTACCAAAAATATTTCATATTAGAAGTAAAACTCAGAATTAATAAAATAATATGTGTAATATATGAAATTTTTAATGCTTATTTAGTTTATAGGATTTTATTTTAATAATTAATTTTCAAATTATTTATGAAACATGAAACTATCTTAGCTTAAAAAATAAAATTTTTCAAATTTTTCTCTTAATAATAATCCTATCAGCCTTCGTGTTCAAATATTTTAAAACTTTAGTGCGATAAGGATTTTTCTCCAAGTGCCAGACATAGGAAGTGAAGGAGTATGGGGAAAACCAATTCAAACAAATTTGCACGCGATTTGACATGTCGAATCCATAAAAGCGCTTCAAACGATTGGATTATGGGTGTGAACGGCGAGCCACAGCCAGCCAAACTCAATTGCCAAATTGAGATTCGGCCCTTTTAAACTGATTACGAGCCAGTCCAGGCTATCAATTGCAAATTTATTTCCCCCACTCCGCCAACAGAAAACAGAGTGAAAGAAACCCTTTTCAGAAGCTCACCTCCGGCCTTGACCTGGCCGTGACTTTGCATTTGTGGAAATCGACTGGGAAAGTCAGGACTTGACTCATCACGCAAGTCCCGCCACCTTTTTTGTGGCAAACAAATCAGTAAGTTTACGAGCTGAATTGCAAATTCCGCGTTGGCATTGGAAAATCTTGAAGAGTTTTCTCTTACGGATGAAAAGTCAGGTGGAGAAGTCAAAGAACTTTCTGGTAGCCAAGGCAAGGAGCTCAAAATAGTACAGATAAACCTATGAGATACGCTTTTAAAAAGAAGCCTTGGATCCTTGTTTATACACAAATAAATTAGTCGATAAATACATTCGTTGCATAATTTTGTTTATCTTTGTAAATATAATGAATATAATAATAATACATATAAAGAATATAGAAAGTTAATATTTATATTATACTAAATTGCTAATTTCTGGTTAATTGATAACTACTGTTCTGCTTTAATCACTGCATCCCCGGAGGTTCAGCGTGTCAATGTCAAGTGGCTTAGGCGAAAGTTGAGAAAGCAACTCTTCGGCACTCGTCTTTGTGTTTAGTACAACTCTCACTGGCTCCCCATCAAATATTCTGCATAATTCATGTATTTTATTAAAAGAAAATGCAAAACCAACAACGATTCGTATGCCAAACGGCCAAACCCACACCTCCCCTTCTCAACCCACCCACTAGTTCAAAAACTGGGGCGAGTGCTTGTCAAATGGCAGCTGTAAACTAAATGCTTTATATTCATTTATTCCGGAGCATAAACAATGTGAACATCCTCGACAAACGGCAAACCGGAAGACTTGATGAGCTCCTTGTGCCTGGATCTATATACACCATATTCGTATACATATACATATATATACATATAGTGTGGTGCAGTGCGGAATGTGTGTGTAAGTTCGCATAATGTTGTGAATGCCATGGTTAATGCATGTGCAACAGGATGCTCTTCCACTTGCGGTTGCCTCATCTAAGGAAATTAGTGGCCAGAGAAAGTGGATTGGGTTGGCAGATAGGGACAGTGTTGTAGATTTTATTTACACAATTTCATGCTGAATTATACAAAACATTTATTTGCTTGGCAAAATAAATAATTCAATTTATTAGACATAAATATTGTAGTGCAAATTCAATCTATTTTGGTTATGGAAGGGGAAAATAAATTACGGAAGTTTTATATTTTGAGACTAATGATTTAACATCAAATGGTATCCCTCGACCAGAGATAGGCCCCTAAGTATTTATTAACATTTATAAATGGTAATAAAAATGTATTCATGAGCCTTTCTATTATGAAAATATAATCCTATTGGGTTTATTGTTGATCTTTCCTATTTTAATTACATTGCTGGCTGCTTTGTTTCTGCAACACCCCAGAACCCAAAACTTTTCACAACTCGCTGATCAATTTATCTAAATGGAATTAATAAATGTTTTAAGTTCTAATCGCACCCCTTGACAAATACCCTACGTTTGGGCAGTGGAAGGGGAAACCCCATTTAAATACTCAGAAATCCCTTTCAATGTAGCGCAACATTCACGCTTGACAGCCACGCAAAAACAAGGGGCAGCAATCAACGGTGGAAAGCACTGGGGGCGGCGGTGAAGGCAGGAAGGATGCCCCATAAACCGGGCACGCCACCGCCAATCAATAAAACCCGAAACAACTGGCGCTCTGGAGCATCAAATATTTGTAGGTCTCGGCCAAAGTTAAGATGTGGAAAATCCCCCTGAAAAAACCGTCGAGCCATTAAAAGTAAACGCTGTGGAAAACGAACGATGTTTCCTTTAAACGTGGCCCGACATTCGACGAGATTTGGCCGTAATAAACAGAAACAAATGAAATAATTTCGACTGCAAACAAAAGGGCATAAATCTATATATATTTATATATATATGTTTATGGGTGTACATCCTATCATACTTCCCCCGCTTCAGGAATGCTTGATTCCCAAATACATATATCTACGCGTATCTATGTATAATGTATAAGCCGAAAAGAGGCGTGAGGCCCCATAGACAAGGGGCGTGGCTGGAAGCGGCCTTGTCCAGTCCGCTTAGCCAAATTACGTATACGCACAGTTGGGCCGTCGGCGGGAGGCGCAATAATTCATGACACACGGAACGGCACTCGGCGCACGACTCACGGATACGGATTCGGATGCGAATACATACCCGGACCCGGACCCGGACACAACCCACGGGTACGCCTGGCGATGAAGACATCGGCCACGTAAATTGGTTTAAGCTGACGGCAACGGACAGCCCACCCAATCTCCATGCTCCCAGCATACCAGGCATCCAGTGGCTCACCGACTTTGACCTATTGCCCGACCACGCAAAACTTGAACAGGAAAGGGGGTGCCGGATATCAAGGGGTAAGGGAGGGTACAGAGGAAAAAAACTGACATCCTAATTGTTTCTTTGGTTTTTGATTTATATTTAAATGAAATAGAAACTTTTTCAGTACCAAACTCTAATAAATTTTTCCTTCAATTATTTCCTATTTTTGTTGAAGTCCTTGATAAGACTTTTTGATCTTAATAGAAAAGAGTCAAAAACCGTTTTTACGGAATCAATTTTATTACGAAAACTTCCAAATTGCTATTAATATTTTTGTTCAGTGTATCTAAGCAAACAAGCTGGGGCAAATGGGGCTCCCTGGACCTGTGGTGCTGCCCAAAAGGTTATGCCAAATTACGAGAATTTTTGAGGCTCAGC